ACGGCGCTCTTCTGGTTTTCGGCGCCCTTTTTGTTCCCAACCAGCCTGTGGTGTTGGGTCCTCGTTTTGAAGCAGCGCCCCGCGTCCCTCCTCCTTTCGTCCTCGCCCTCCTCCCTCCTCTCCCTCCTCCCTCCTCCGCAGTTCGCATGCGTCTCCCCCGCCTAGTACATCGTTTCGTGGCCCCAAAGAGGGCTCCAACAACGGTCCCAGTGGCGCAGTCCGCATGCGGTTCCTGCGCCCAGTGCATCAATTCGTGGCCCCATAAGGAGCTCCACCGAAGTTCTCAGTGGCGCAGTCCGCATGCTGTTCCCCCACCCATTGCAGCGTTTCGTGGCTCCAAAGGGAGCTCCACCGAAGGTCCCAGTGGCGCAGTCCGCATGCGGTTCCCCCGCCCACTACAGCTTTCCGTGGCTCCAGAGGGAGCTACAGCGAAAGTCCCAGTGGCGCAGTCCGTATGCGGTTCCTCCGCCCACTATCCAGCATTCCGTGGCGCCAGAGGGGGCTCCACCGAAGGTCCCAGTGGTGCAGTCCGCATGCGGTTCCCCCGCCCAGTGCAGCTTTTCGTGGCACCAGAGGGAGCTCCACCGAAGGTCCCAGTGGCGCAGCTCGCATGCGGTTCCCCCACCCAGTACAGCGCTTCGTGGCCCCATAGGGAGCTCCACCGACGGTTCCAGTGGCGCAGTCCGCATGCTGTTCCCCCACCCATTGCAGCGTTCCGTGTCCCCATAGGGAGCTCCACCGAAGGTCCCAGCGGTTCTTCCGCCCAGTATGCATCGCTTCGTGTCCCCAGAGGGAGCTCCACCGAACGTCCCAGTGGCGCGGTCCGCATGCGAACCCCCACCCAGTATAGTGTTTCGTGGCCCCAGAGGGAGCTCCACCGAATATTCCAGTGGCGCATTCCGCATGCTGTTCCCCCACCCATTGCAGCGTTCCGTGTTCCCAGGGGGAGCTCTACCGAAGGTCCCAGTGGCGCAGTCCGCATGCGGTTCCCAAACTCAGTACAGCGTTTCGTGGCTCCAGAGGGAGCTCCGCCGAAGGTTCCAATGGTGCAGTCCGCATGCGGTTCCCCCGCCCAGAACATCAATTTCTGGCCCCGTAAGGAGCTCCATCGAAGTTCTCAGTGGCGCAGTCCGCATGCGGTTCCCCCCCGCCCAGTACAACGTTTCGTGGCGCCAGAGGGGGCTCCACCGAAGGTCCCAGTGGTGCAGTCCGCATGCGGTTCCCCCGCCCAGTGCAGCTTTTTGTGGCACCAGAGGGAGCTCCACCGAACGTCCCAGTGGCGCAGTTCGCATGCGGTTCCCTCACCCAGTACAGCATTTCGTGGCCCCATACGGAGCTCCACCGACGGTTCCAGTGGCGCAGTCCGCATGCTGTTCCCCCACCCATTGCAGCGTTCCGTGTCCCCATAGGGAGCTCCACCGAAGGTCCCAGTGGCGCAGTCCGCATGCGGTTCCTCCGCCCAGCATACATCGCTTCGTGTCCCCAGGGGGAGCTCCACCGAACGTCCCAGTGGCGCGGTCCGCATGCGGACCCCCACCTAGTACAGCGCTTCGTGGCCCCATGGGGGGCTCCACCGAAGGTCTCAGTGGCGCAGTCCGCATGCTGTTCCCCAACTCAGTACAGCGTTTCGTGGTCCCAGACCGAGGTCCCAGTGGCGCAGTCCGCATGCGGTTCCCCCGCCCAGGACAGCGCTTCGTGGCCCCATAGGGAGCGCCACCGAAGGTCCCAGTGGCGCAGTCCGCATGCGGTTCCCCCACCCAGTACAAAGTTTCGCGGCCACAGAGGGAGCTCCACCGAAGGTCCCAGTGGCGCAGTCCGCATGCGGTTCCCCCGCCCAGTACAGCGCTTCGTGGCCCCATAGGGAGCTCCACCGAAGGTTCCAGTGGCGCAGTCCGCATGCGGCTCCCCCCGCCCAGTGCAGCGTTCCGTGGTCCCATGGGGAGCTTCACCGAAGGTCCCAGTGGTACAGTTCTTATGCGGTTCCTGCGATCAGTACAGCGTTTCGTGGCCCCAGCGGGAGCTCCACCGAAGGTCTCAGTGCCGGAACTCGAATGCGGTTCCCCCACCCATTGCAGCGTTTCGTGGCCCCAGAGGGAGCTCCACGGAAGGCGATACCCACACATTCGGCAGTCACACTTGCATATGGTTAGGTTCTTCACCAGGTTAATTTTCAGAACCCTTATGGTTTTCGGTGCCCCTTTGGTTTTCGTCGCCCTTTTGCTTTTCCGCGCCCCTTTGTTGGTCCGTGTCCCTTTCGTTTTCAGCGCCCCTGTGGTTTTCGGCGTCTTTTCGGGTTTTCGGCGCCCCTTTGGTTGGATGCTCGAGGATCGAGTTTTTGGTCCCTGGAGGCAGTTCCAGAACCCCCAGGGGTCGGCGTTTCGAGAGGCAAGGGGGAGGAGGCGGAGGAGGAGGAGGAGGAGGAGGAGGAGGAGGAAGGGGAGGATGCCCCTCCACCCCCCTCCACATTCTTCAAAGAAACTCCTCTCGGCATGCTCCTCTCCACTGGGCCTCGCCAGCATGTGGATGGGAGGGCTCTCCTTCCTTTTCGTTGGTCGGGAACCAAAAGGGGGTTGGGAGAGAGGTTGCGCGTCAAGCGCAAGGGCAGGGACCAGGTTTGTGCAAGGGCGCTTGGGGATGCCTGATCACAGGATTGGCTCTGCTACCGAGGAGGTTCGAGGATCGAGGGGCAGGTTCTGTTCGAGGATCGCGTTTTTGGTCCCGGGAGGCCTTTAGAGGCTTCAGAGGCCTCCAGAGGTCACCGGGACGTCTTGACGCCCCTGGGGACATCCAGAGGCCTCCAGCAGGAGAGAAGCGGAGCAGGTGGTCGTGCTTCTGATCGCTGCGGCCTCTGGCAGCTCGATGCCCCCCCCTGTGCATCAGATGTTCGACAGCCTGCACCCGGTGTTTTGGCCCTTCCTTCCGTCGCGGCCTAGCGTCCAGCGATCATGCCGCTCTGCTCGCGGATGGGGGGAAGTCGTGCCTGGTCGCGACAGCGAAGGAGTAGGCGGAGGAGGAGGGGGAGGAGGAGGAGGAGGAGGAGGAGGAGGAGGAGGAGGGGCAGGAGGATGAATGCAGAGTCATTCCTTCTCTGCGTCTTCTTCGCTCTCGTTCTGGCCGCGTGCTCATGCTGCGTCTTCGGCCGCGCAATGCGTCAGTGGTTGTGTCACCTGGCCCCTGCGCGTGCTTGCGCTTCTTGCTGTTCCTGTTGAGTCATCGGGAGGACCTGATATAGTCACGGCTGGACGCGACTCGACCTGCATATCAGGACAGTTTTCAGTGGGGGGCTCTGGGGCCGATTTTGAGCGGATGACGAGCAGTGCGCTCTGATGGGGTCTATGATGATCAAAGCCGCCCTTGCCGAAGCATGGGTGTGAAAGAACCCAACATCCGACCTTAGCATGTTGCTAATACGCAGTCCCCTGCAGTTCGCGGATGAGGGAGAGAGAGAGAGAGAGAACGGAACAAACACAAAACAAATAACAGTACATGTATGACTTTAACTCTGATCCTTACAGATGTTAGTCAGCGTGAGCCCTAAACAGTGTGCTTCTAGCAGTATATGTTGTGCAATCTATGTGAAATATAATATGTGGTGCAATGTATGTGGTGCCATCTATGCGGTGCACTATATGCGGTGCTATATACCTGTAATGCAACCTATGTGGTGCGATCCATGTTGTGTCATTTATGTCTTGCAATACTTATATATATATATGTATATATATACATATATACAAGACTGCATTGGAGCTTCGCGCCATGCACCTTGGTCCTTGAAGTTTGGTGTGCAGGCGGAATAGCAGGAAGGTCAAGCCGACAATTTAGCGATAACTCCTTGTTGCCTTTTCCGGCATCGCCGCTATAATAATGTTATTCGTTATCATTCCTCCATGCTTCTTTCTCCTCATGTTCGCCACACCCTGCGCATTCTCCCTATCCTCCTCAGCTTTTTTTTGCGGAGGCTCCTCCTGGGAGAGCCTCTGGGGGCCTAAAACAATTGTTTGAGGCTTCCTTAAGGCCTTCTGGAGGCCTCCTGGGCGTATTCTGGGGGCCTCTGGGGGCTTCCTCGGGCCACCCTGCCTCCAACCACGGTCTCCCTGAACGACTGGGTCACGATTTGGAATGCTTCGGAGGGTGTCTTGGGGCCATCTTGGGCCGCCATTGGGGCTCTCTTGGACTGCCTGGAAGCCCTTTCGGATGTTTGTGGGGCGATTTTAGAGCCTCCCAGATGGCTTCGGACGCCCCGAAGACGCCGTCTTGGAGCGTCGGGAAGCCGAAAAGAGGAGAACCCCAAAATTCACCAAATATTAACAGAAACTCAATGATTTGTGCCTCTTGAGAGTGCTCTTGGAGGTCTCTTTGGGGCCGTCCTGGAGGCCTCTTGGGCCATCTTGAGGTCACGTCGGTCACTCTTGGAGCGCTCTTGCGCTGTCATGGGGGTCCCTGAGACGTCTCCGATGCCCCCCCTGATCGCCCTAGGTGTGCTGGGAAGGCTTGGCAAAACGCCCTGCGAGGCCAGGGGGGCCGCTTCGAGGCCCGTCCGGAGGGTCCCAAAGCCCCAGATCCCGGGAGTCCGGTTTTGGGGGGGGGGGGGTGATGGGTTTTCCCCCCGCCCGGGCTGACAAAAATATAGGAAGAGGAATATACATATATCTTGCGATCTATGCGGTGCCAGTCTGTGAGGTGCAATCCATGTGGGGCAATCTAGGTGGGTGGAACAATCTATGTGGTGCAATATGTGTGGAGCAACATGTGTTGTGCAATCTGTGTGGCGCAGTTGATTTTTACAAGCGAATTGACACATCCCATGCTCTTGCAAACATCCCACCCACCCTCCCGCAACTTGGATTGCAACACCCATGCGGTGGCGATTGCGATGCATGCTTGGCGCCGGCTGGTGCATCTCTGCGGCCGCGCCACCTTCACTGCGAGTCGGCGACTTGGACGGGCGCGGTATCATGGCAACGCCGACAACGGTATACACGATGATGATCGTGGCGATGCTGGTGACGATGCTCGCACCAGCGACAGGGCAGCCTGTGCGGGCGCCGATGCTGCTCGCCTCCGCCCGGGCTTGGGTGCAGGATCCTGCAGGATCCTGTAAGATTTTGGAGGATCTTGCATAGTCTGACGACCCGGGTCTGAATTGACCCGGGTCAGTGGATCCCCGAGTATTTGGCCGTTGCTCCCTCTGTCAATTTTGTCAGGGTCCACGTCCCCCGGCTGTGCGCAACCGCTCGCCTATAGCAGGTTGGCCTGTGCGCTGCTTCAGGCGCTCTGGTGTTCCTCCTTCCCATCCTTGCCCCTTGCCCGTAGGTGGTGAAGTTGACATAGCTGGCCAATATCGATCATTGCCGCTGCGCTGTGTTGGAATTGCAACGGCCCGTCGCCAGGTAATTACGGTGATCGCCTCCGTAAGGGGCAGCGGATTGTTCGGTGTCCGCTCCCATTTGCTCGCTCCCCCCAAAACCTCTGTCGTTCAGCCACGCGCATAAGGGGGGGCGGTTGGGGGGGAGGCGGGAGGCTTCTTAGGAGGAAACCGCTTCTAGTAAGGCGCGGGCCTTGTCTGTAGATGTAAAGCCCGCGCCTTCTAAAGGAGCGGCCTGCTTCTAAGAGGCCATCCCCAGTCCCCCATACCCCCTTGTGCGCGCCGCCAAGTCGCCTCGATCTGCGATGTGGCAAGAGCTCCGAGGCGGGGATCTATCCATGGCCTCCGCCTGGGGGGTCGATCTTTGGGGACCTCTGCGGGGGGTGGACATGGATATGTTCGGAGCCTCTGGGGCCGAAGCGTGTCCATATCCGCTGGCCGCTGGGGTCCCAGGACGTTGTTCCCCCGGGCGGTGGATCTGGAAAAATCTCCGCCTCGCAGAAGCTCGGCTCCTCGAAACAGAAAAGATTGCACGCACTTTCGGAGGTTCGCGCCGATTGCTCCGCTCGGCGCCTGGGCCCTCCCCACCCCCGTGGCGGCGCCTCCGCCGCAGTCTCTGGCGCGCTCTCCCTGCGCCAGGGAGGGGGGGGGTCCAGCGCCGAGCCGAGGCATCCGCGCAGCACTCCGACAGTTTGTGCTTCGCCTGGAGGAGCCAGGGTCTCTCTCGCTGCTGCCTCCCCGGCCTCCGCGCAGATGCGGGGTGTGGCTCGTTGCAGCCGTGACGTGTCGATCAAGCGATTGTCATCCCTGGGCCGACCGGTTTGCGGATCTTCTACCCGTCGGATCTCGGCCTCGGTGGGCTCGTGGGCTCTTGTGTGGTCCAGCCCGTGCAGCTGGGAATCATCAATGATGATCTCTGGGAGTACTAAGGTATTGGCTAATCATATTGACGGTCTTGTTGTTGTCGCCGCTCACAATCATTATTCCGCAAATTTTGTCTGGAACGCTTACATGGCCCAGGCGGGAAGATACACCCGATGAGTGGACAATACATGGAAAGCGCTACAACTTGAAGTCTTTCTACGACCAGCATCCAGGCCCCCCGCCCTGGGTAGAAACTTGCTTGCCTCTGGCGGACCAGTATAGCGTCAGTTCGTTTGTGATTTGAGTCTTGCACTTTGGAGCAGGCGAAGTGTTCGGCCGTCGTTGCCGTTTGAGCCCGCTTCCTCGTCATGGCCAGCATTGGGCTTGGGGAGCCGGTGGCCACCGGGCCGTTGTGCGTTTGTCCCGCCCAGATTGTTCGAAATGTCAGTTTTGTTCCCCCATTTGCTAGTGGGGTTCTGGTTTTCTTCCCTCCGCGCCCCACCCGTGAAGCTCACACCTCACCTCCTCTTTCTCCCTCTCCTGACACACAGACACACAGACACTCAGACCTCACCTCCTCTTCTCCCTCTCCTGACACAAAGACACACACACCGACACACACACATACCCACACACAAACACACACACACAGGCACCCACACAGACACACCTACACGGACACACACACACAGACACACCCACATATACACACAAACACAAACACAAGCACACACACACACACACGCTGTCACACACAGACACACAGACAGACGCAAACGCACAGACGCACAGACACAGACACAGGCACAGCAACAAACACAGACACAGACGGCACACCGACGGCACTTTCTCGACAGCAAGGAGTGCGCTGGGGGTGGTCCCCCTATCCGTTGTGGGCTCGCAAATCGTGGCAGGCGTGGCACTTCTTCGACAACACAGGGAGTGCGCTGGAGGGGGTCCCCCTATCCGTCGCGGGCTCGCAAAGCGTGACAGGCGTGGCACTTCCTCGACACCACAGGGGGTGCGCTGGGAGTGGTCCCCCTATCCGTTGCGGGCTCGCAAAGCGTGGCAGGCGTGGCACTTCCTCGACACCACAGGGAGGGCGTTGGGGGTGGTCCTCCTATCCGTTGTGGGCTGACAAAGCGTGGCAGGAGTGGCACTTCTTCGACAACACAGGGGGTCGTCTGGGGGTGGTCCCCCAATCCGTTGCGGGCTCGCAAAGCGTGGCAGGCGTGGCACTTCCTCGACACCACAGGGAGTGCGCTGGGGGTGGTCCCCCTATCCGTTGCGGGCTCGCAAAGCGTGGCAGGCGTGGCACTTCCTCGACACCACAGGGGGTGCGCTGGGGGTGGTCTCCCTATCCGTTGCGGGCTCGCAAAGCGTGGCAGGCGTGGCACTTCCTCGACACCACAGGGGGTGCGCTGGGGGGTGGTCCCCCTATCCGTTGCGGGCTCGCCGTGGCGTACAACACAGGTGGCGTGCGGGCTCAGCGTGGGCGTGGCACTTCCTCGACACCACAAGGGGTGCGCTGGGGGTGGTCCCGCCCTTCGTTGCGGCCTCGCAAATCGTTGCAGGCGTGGCACTTCCTCGACACCACAGGGAGTGCGCTGGGGGTGGTCCCCCTATCCGTTGCGGGCTCGCAAAGCGTGGCAGGCGTGGCACTTCCTCGACACCACAGGGGGTGCGCTGGGGGGTGGTCCCCCTATCCGTTGCGGGCTCGCAAACCGTGGCAGGAGTGGCACTTCTTCGACAACGCAGGGGGTCGTCTGGGGGATGGTCCCCCCATCCGTTGCGGGCTCGCAAAGCGTGGCAGGCGTGGCACTTCCTCGACACCACAAGGGGTGCGCTGGGGGTGGTCCCCCCCCCTTCGTTGCGGGCTCGCAAAGCGTGGCAGGCGTGGCACTTCCTCGACACCAAAGGGAGTGCGCTGGGGGTTGGTCCCCCCCTTCGTTGCGGGCTCGCAAAGCGTGGCAGGCGTGGCACTTCCTCGGCACCAGAGGGGGTGCGCTGGGGGGTGGTCCCCCTATCCGTTGCGGGCTCGCAAAGCGTGGCAGGAGTGGCACTTCTTCGACAACGCAGGGGGTCGTCTGGGGGGTGGTCCCCCCATCCGTTGCGGGCTCGCAAAGCGTGGCAGGCGTGGCACTTCCTCGACACCACAAGGGGTGCGCTGGGGGTGGTCCCCCCCTTCGTTGCGGGCTCGCAAAGCGTTGCAGGCGTGGCACTTCCTCGACACCACAGGGAGTGCGCTGGGGGTGGTCCCCCTATCCGTTGCGGGCTCGCAAAGCGTGGCAGGCGTGGCACTTCCTCGACACCACAGGGGGTGCGCTGGTGGGTGGTCCCCCTATCCGTTGTGGGCTCGCAAAGCGTGGCAGGAGTGGCACTTCCTCGAAACCACAGGGTGTGCGCTGGGGGTGGTCCCCCCATCCGTTACGGGCTCGCAAAGCATGGCAGGCGTAGCACTTCCTCGACACCACAGGGGATGCGCTGGGGGTGGTCCCCCTATCCGTTGCGGGCTCGCAAAGCGTGGCAGGCGTGGCATTTCCTCGACACCACAAGGGGTGCGCTGGGGGTGGTCCCCCTATCCGTTGTGGGCTCGCAAAGCGTGGCCGGCATAGCACTTCCTCGACGCCACAGGGGGTGCGTTGGGGGTGGGAGCGCTATCCGATTCGGGCTCGCAAAGCGTGGCAGGCGTGGCACTGCCTCGACACCACAGGTCGGAGTGGGATGGATGAAGGGTGGACAAGGGAGGACGGGAGGAAGGAGGATGTTCACGTAATGCCGCGTTGTGAGTGTTGAGATCCGGCGTAGAAGATGGCAATATGACGAGCATTATGATTGAATGTAGACCGCACCAACATACGGTGTGTTACGAGTGCGGCCGACATCCGTGTTGGGCTGCCAGTGCGTGGCTGACGTTGCCGACGGTATCGACAGGGCAGCTACTAGCAGCAGCATCCACATATGTTGCATGTTAGATATGCGAACACAAGGGTTCTCACGAAGTACGAGGGGTTCCTCAGTAGCGTAATCCCCGCAGGATATTGCATCTCGGGGCGTCGTACGTGAATCTACTAGGAAGATCTCTGGGATGCCCTGTGAGGCCCTGAGGGTCCCTGGGAAGCCTTGCGAGGCTGGGGAAGGTCTTGGGAAGCCCTGAGCCGCCATGGAAGGCTCTGGGAGGCTCTCGGAAGCTCTTTGAGGTTGTGAGAGGCTCTTCTGGGAGGTCTTGTGTCGCTGTGTCCTTCCACGCTTCTACGGTCCGTTTGACCGCATCAGCTGCTGAGGGATCGCCGCTCTGCGCTGTCGAAGTCGGTCACAGCTTGCTCACCTGCTTCTGTTCTTCAACTCCTGGTCGTCTGTTCCCCTGAGCGCCTGCTGCAAGAGACTTGCAACGTCTTTAGACGTTGTGGCTGCACTCTCGGTCCCCTTTGCCACAACGACGACTGCCCTCGTGTACGCTCTTGGGCTGCTGCTCCTGGCTGGCATTGTTGGTCCCGAATCTGAACTTGTGCAGCCTAACCTGTCGCTTGCATTCAAAACACGAACGCTTGTTGGCGATGAGTCGGTCATTCCACTCGCACCGACCGCACCCACCGCAACGAGACCACAGACGAGACTTGGACTCCATCGATGAACCTTCTGTTTCACTCGTCACCTCCAGCTGTGAACCAGCTTAGGTGAAGTGCTCCAAGCACCACGTGCAGGCACAGAAATCGGGCCCAATCTGCTTGAAGGAATAGTAGGAGGAGGAGGAGGAGGAGGAGGAGGGATGGAGGAGGAGGAGGAGGCGCATGGAGGCGGAATGGGGACGAGGAGGAGGATGCGTATGAAGCGGGATGGTGGAGGAGCTGTAGCCGGAGGATGCGGAAGAGGTGGAGAAGGTGGAGGAGGTTGAGGGAGGCCGACCAAACACCGTATTATACACAGCTTGACTCCTCATCATGTTTTGCACCTCCTTCCCCCCTTTCTCCTCGTCCTTCGCCTCCTCCTCCGTTGTCATCCCATCTCCCTCATCCCTCCTCCCTTATCGCTTCTCCCCGTTCCCCTCTACCCCCTATTATTAACTATTCCCTTCTCTTCTTCCTCTTTCCCCATCCGTCCCCTTACACCTCTTCTTTGTGCTCGTCCTTATCCTTACTCCTCGCCTCCTCTGTCCTCTTTCTTATCCTCCTCCGTCTTGGCGACGTTGACGACGCCGACGCCCCCGACGACGACGGCCACCTGTCCCTGTGCAGGGGGCAGCTGGAACCTCCGCGCGGCAAAGAATTCCGACTGCACTGGCTTGTTCGAGTCCTGCCACACCTTTATCGATCGCAAGGTCTTGCTCAGCATGCTCGACAGGCTGGCCGTCTTGGGGCGAGGATACGCGAAGATGAGGACTGAGCAGGGAGAGGAGGTGGAGAAGGCGGAGGGAGGAGGGAACAGTCGGAATGGAGGACGGGAGGCAGGAGGGGGAGGAAGAGGAGGAGGAAGAGGAGGAAGAGGAGGAGGAGGCAAAGGAGGAGCAAGAGGAGGGGAGCAATGGGGGGGAGGAGGAGGATGAGGAGGAGGAGGAGGCGGAGGAGGAGAAGAGGAGGAGGAGGAGGAGGAGCAGGAGGAGGAGGGGGAGGGGAGGAGGAGGAGGAGGAGGAGGAGGAGGAGGAGGAGGGGGGACAGGAGGAGGAGGAGGAGAGGAGGAGGAGGGGACAGGAGGAGGAGGAGGAGGAGGAGCAGGAGGAGCAGGAGGAGAGGAGGAGGAAGGACAGGAGGAGGAGGAGGAGGAGGAGGAGGAGGCCCCCGGGGCGGAGTCGTATCTGACCCCCCCCCCCCGACGGGGGAGGGATCAAAGGGAATAGGCTTCCCCTTGACGTGGTTACGACGTGGGTCGATTTCCCTCAAGGCCGCTAGAGCACTGCAACGACGACGACGACGACGACGACGACGACGACGAGGACGAACAACCCTTCACTCACGCCGACACAGGGTCGGCGGATCTTCTCTCTCCGTTGGCCTGGCTCGCCTTGGTATCGCAATTTCGCGATGTTGCCCCCCCGTGCTGCGCCGTCAGATGGGGCGACCTCGCGAGCCCATGAGTTGAATCCGACCCATCGCCCACGCATGTCGTGCCCGACAATGGAAAACCAGCCTGGGCCAGCATTGCCGGGCGCTGCATACATTGCACCACACAGCGTGCACCACATAGAATCCAGCGCATATACTGCTTCACATATGCTGCACTACGTAGCTTGCACCAGCCAGCTCGCTCGAAGGCACTGTGCGGGGCCCATGCTGGCCATCATGCTTCTGCGGTGCCCCCCCATTCCTGCCCGTCGTCTTGCTCCCTGCTCCTCTTCGTCCTCCACCGTTTCCGCCCTTCCAGTCCTGGTAACTTTTCTCCTCATCCACCTGTTCAGTCTCCCTCCTCCACCCTTCCCTCCTCCTTCTCCCACCCCTCCTTCTCTTCCTCCTCCTCCTACTCCTCCTTGTCCTCCTCCTCCTCCTCCCCCTCCTCCCCCCCTTCCCCCTCCTCCTCCACCTTCTCCTCCCCCTCCCCCTCCTCGTCCCTCTCTGATCCCGTTCAGTTGCGGGGCGAAGCCCTTGTCAGCCTTACGCGACAATCTTTTGGAGTGACGAAACGTGCCCCCTGGCGCCCGCCCCCGCGCAGCGAGACGGCGCGACGCGCGGCATGGATTCAGGCATGAATTCCGGCATGAATCCGGAGTAAATTCGGCATGAAAATGGCATGACAAATTTGCATAACAAAAATCCTTTCTAATTGGTACATGACAAATTTGCGCCGCATTCTTGTCATACACGTGATTTCGTGGTCGCCACGCCACCCTGGGCGCCCTCCCGCAATTTTTTCATGCCGCCCCGCGGTTTCTCTCTCCGGTTCACAGGCGGACGCGAGTAGAATGGTCTCCACCCTCGCCCCCCTTGGGCCGTGGGCGTGGTTGGCCAAATCAGCGGCGTATCGTTGAACATCAGGCGCGTCGATGTAGGACTGTCGGCCCCCGGGGGCGAGGGCGTACTACCCCTCACCCCCGCGACGCGCCTCCACGTCGGAAAAAACTGGCACCGATCGATGGCACCACGCGCGGGCCAACGCGGAAACGTGGCCCTCAGTGTCCGCTGCTGCGCCCTAGGCGCCGACGCCGAGTCCCCAGGCGTCTTGGACGCATGCGAATTGCTCCATAGGGACCTTCGTTTGTTCGTTTTGGCGCGCGTGAGGGGTGCGCCGAAATCGGCGGGGGGGCCCATTCGAACAGTGGCAGCGGAACCTTCGGTAAAGCTCCCTTCGGGGCCCTTCGCGCTAAACTTGCGGGATGGCCCAGGAAACCTCAGAGGACCTTTGAACGGTCAGTTTGGCAGCCCCCGCGTGGGCCGGGCAAGGGCGGCTGCATCTTCTCCGAGCGGCGCTAAACAAGTCTCCAAGTGCATCGAACTGGCCCGCGGGACCCCGTGGGCACCGTGAGGCGCAGTGGGGCTTGGGGCATGGTGTGCTCATCGTTTCGGGTCGGTCAAACAATGCATTCCTGGAGGTAGCATTCCAAGTTGCCTGGTCGTGTTTGTCGTTGTGCCCATGGCGCTGCCTCAGTGATCTGGATGATGCTTGCATCCCGTGCTGTCATATTTTCCGTTGCTGGCGTTTGGCTTACAACAGCTCCTACTCGACATAGCCGCCCAGCCAGTCAACATAATTTGAAATAGTTTCGTAAAACGGTTTTTCTTCATAAGCCTCTTCTGCGGGTCCGTGGGGGCCGAAGTGTTACTTGAGGTTCATTGTGGGAGATTCCAGTTTTTCTGTTCCGGTTTACTTTTGATGCTGGTCGTGTTGGTTGTTCCAAGTGTGTGTTTCAAATTGTTCCAATTCGATTGTCCAAGCAGTGCTGCATTTGCGTGATGTTTCTTGTTCCCCAGACAGTACTTTCACTTGGGGGCTCTCAGTTGGGGCTCCCCAGTAATGCGACAGGTGTAGCGGAGTTTTGCCTCGTGCCCAGTTGGTGCCCGGTTGGGCCCGCCCACCCGTGGGCGTTTATTGGGCGCCCCGTGTGTTGGGTGGGCTTCCCCATTTTTCCCACATTTGGCCAGGGGGTGGCTGGCACGCCACATTGCCAGTCGCATCTGGTCCACGCGCGGTGCCCCCACGCGGGAAATCGCAGGAATTGCAGAGGCGAGGTCAGGGTCTATCTGAGGGCCAATCTGGGCCAGTGCCCCCCTAGAGGGCTGGCGGGGTTTGCCCTCCCTCACGATCGGAGTCCCGATTCGACCGCAGCTATTGCCAACCTGGGAGGAAGATGAATAGGAGGAGGAAGAGGAGGAGCAGGAGGAGGAGGAGGAGGAGGATGAGGAGGAGGAGGAGGAGGATGAGCATGAGGAGGAGGATGAAGTGCAATATCTGGAGGAGGAGGAAAAGGAGGAGGAGGATGGGATGACCAGTGCAACGCCAAGGCGCCAACGATTTTCCAATACACCTTCTCTCCAAGTTCCTTCTGCCGAGGTCTCTACAAGAGCTTAGCTTCATTGCGGAAAAATCATATTCAACCGCGCGAGAACACAGTTCTTGGGGTTCGAGCGCCGCGAGCAAACAATTCCTGTTGCGTCTTGGCAAGCCGCAATCTGACCAGAACACACTTCCTGGGATTTCAACACTGCGAATCAACATGGTTTTTGCGCCCTTCTTGGGGCCTTTAACCACGTGAACCCTTAAAGCTGCTGCACACTTTGATAACGAATGTGCGCGGCGATAAGGCGAGACCCACATTTTGAAGACCACCAGCCGTCCATCCTCGAAACGGTTGCATTTGTTTGAGGCCAGTGTGCTCGGTGCCAACGCGAAGACGAATGCGCGCAGCGATAAAGCAAGAACAGCTTTTTGGAAAGGACGCCCCCCCATCTTTGAAATTGTTGCAATGTATTGGACGGATGTGCGCGTCGCGAATGCGAGGGCCACGAGGGCCATGTTTTGAACACCGCCCACCATTTATCTGTGAAGCTGCTGCACAATTCAAGCTTCAGGATCAGACAGGGTGTAGAAGTCTCAGGCGGAACGCCTAGCCCGCTCTGCGGGCACGCCTGGGGGTGGGGGGTGGGTGGGTGGGACATGGATGAACTACTGATAAGGGAAAGGGGTGGAGGAGAAGGAGGAGGATGGGGAGGGGTAACAGGAGTATGAGGATGAGGATGGGGACGGGGATGGGGGAGACGGTGAGGAGGGTGAATGGGGGGAGGAGGAGGAGGAGGCGGACCAATAGGAGGAGGAGGAGGAGCTGGAGGAGGAGGAGGAGGCGGATAATGAGGAGGAGAGGAACAGGAATAGCATGAGGAAGATGAGCTGGATGATGAGGTTGTTGCTAATTGTGACGATGATGCTGATGATGGTGATGAAGCTGGTGGTGACAATGATGATCATGCTGTTGATGATGATGATGTTGACGATGCTGTTTGTGATGCTGATGATGTTGATGTTGATGCTGATGCTGCTGACGATGATGCTGATGATGGTGACGATCATGCTGATGATCATGCTGGCGATCATGACGATTCTGACAAGGAGGAGGATAAGGACGAGGATTGTGTAGGGCGGAGGAGCATGAAGGTGGGCAAGGATGACTTTTCTTATTTTTTTCCCATCCGCCCACCACGGTCAGACCTTGTAATCGGTATCTCTTGTCGGAGGTGGGTGAGGCGAAGGGAACCGATGGGGGGATGACGATGTTGTTGCTGCTGGTGGCGATGGATAACAATGACGGGACGCGACGGCGGCGATGAGCATACCGATTCTTGCGACGACGGCGATGATGGCGATGTTTATGACGATGATGATGGTGATGCTGATGCTGCTGCTGATGATGCTGATGCTGGTTGTGGTGGTGATGATGTTGACGACGATGATGATTAAGATGATGATGAAGCTGCTAATGACGATGACGATGATGATTCTGATCATAATGCTTGTGACGATGGCGATGGCGCTGCTGCTGGTGATGGTGCTGTTGGTATGGAGCAGCGTTGTTATGACAACGGTGGCGGCGATGCCGATGACGACGATGATGGGTGGGGATCATGATGGTGATCATGCTGCTAAGACTGGGCGTGATACCAGTGAATGTGATGCTGATTACAATGATGATGATGATGCTGGTGATGATGATGATGATGATGATGGTGGCGCCGACTGTGCCGATGACATATTCGGATAATGATGGTGCAGGTGCGGATGCCGACGATGTCAATGGTGATGCTGACAATGACGATGAGGTTTGCGACTGACCATTTGAGGATGCTGATGCCGATGATGCTGCTGATGATGACGATGATGATGGTAAGGCCGCTGATGATGCTGCCCGTGATGAGGATGATGACACTGATGCTGATGATCATGACGATGTTGACGATGTTGAGGATGTTGATGATGATGATGATGATGATGATGATGCTGATGATGATGATGATTATTGGGATTTTGCTGTTGGTGATGGTGCTGACTGTCATGCTTGCGATAATGTAGTGGGGATGATGGTGATGCAGATGACGATGATGATACTGATGCTGATGCTGGGATGCGGCTGCTGACGATGAGGAGGAGGACGACCACGACGCCGTCGACGACGACGATGCTGATGGTGACGATTGTGATGCTGATGCTTATGGTACAGATGCTGCTGATGATGCTGACGATGCTGATGATGACGATGGTGACGCGGAAGGGGCAGGAGGATGTTGATGTTGGTGATGTTGTCGCTGATGCTGCTGCTGATGCTGATGCCGCTGACGATGGTGATGGTGATGAAAATGCTACTGCTGGTGACGAGCCTGGTGCTACTGATGATACTCACGATTGTGATACTGATGATGATGAAAACGATGGTGTTGATGCTGATGATTCTGATGGCGATGGTGATGATGCTGATGATGATGGTGTTGATGCTGATGCTGGTGCAGACGATGACGATGATGACGATGCGCATGATGCCGATGATGCTGATGATGATGCTGATGATGATGATGATGATGATGATGATGGGGATGCTGCTGCTGCTGACGATCAGGAGGACGAGGACGGTCACGACGCCGTCGACGACGATGATGATGCTGGCTATGCTGATGATAGTGATGCTGATGCTGTTGCTAAAGATGCTGATGATGCTGTTGATGATGACTATGCTGATGATGATGATGGTGATGATGATGATGACGCGGCTGGGGAGGAGGATGCTGATGATGATGCTGTTGATGATGAAGATGATGATGATGCTGATACGGATGATGGTGATGCTCATGATATGGTTGATTCGTCTTGTTACGATGGTGTCATGGCTGCTGATGTTGATGATGGAATTCGTTCATGATGCTGATCATGATGCTGATGGTAATGATACTGATGCTGATGCTGGTGATGATACTGTCGATTATGATGATGAGTATGGTGATCATGATGCTGATGATGATGACGATGATGATGCTGCTGCTGCTGATGATGATGATGGTGCTGGGGCTGGTGAGGCTGATGATGGTGATGATGATGATGCCGATGGTGGTGATGCTGATGCTGATGCTGATGCTGATGCTGATGAAGATGATGATGTTGATGATGCTGATCCTGATGATAATGATGATACTGTTGATGATGATGCTGCTGCTGATGATGATGATGGGGATGCTGCTACTGCTGTCGACGAGGAGGAGGACGACCACGACGCCGTCGACGACGATGATGAGGATGCTGGCTATGCCGTCGATGGTGATGCTGATGCTGATGCTAAGGGTGCTGATGATGCTGTTCATGACGACTGTGCTGCTGATGATGAGGATGATGTTGATGTTGATGATGCTGCTGCTGATGATGTGGAGGGTGAGGAGGATACTGATGATGCTGCTGCTGATGATGATGCTGATGATGGTGATGCTCATGATCTGTTTCATTCTTCTTGGTATTATGGTGACGGGAATGCTCATGCTGATGATGATGATGCTGTTGTTGATGATGGTGATGATGATGACGACCATGGTGATGGTGATGCTGATGATGATGATGATGATGCTGGTGATAATGCTGATTCTACTGACGATGCTGATGATGGTAATGATGCTGATGATCACTAGGACGGTGATGTGATGATGGTGATGCTGACGATGATGATGATGCTGATGCTGGTGATGATGTTGCTGATAATATCGATGATTGTGATGATGGTGATGGTGATGATGATGTTGATGACGATGCTGATGCTGATACCGATGCTGATGCCGATGCTGATGAAGATGACGATGAGTATGCTGATGCTGATGCTGATGCTGACGATGATGATGGTGACGACTACGATGACGATGCTGCTGATGTTGCTGCTGCTGAGGATGACGATGTTCATGATGATGCTGCTGATGATGATGATGATGATGACCATTATTATGATTATGATGATGATGCCGCTGCTGGTGATGGTGATGCTGATGATGATGCTGCTGCTGCTCATGATGATGAGTATGCTGCTGCTGCTGCTGCTGATGATGATGATGATGATGATGATGATGATGATGATGATGATGAAGATGATTATGATGAGAATTATGCTGGTGCAGACGGTGACGAATAACATGATGCGAGAAGGGGGATGTAAGGATGGGGGGGTAGTCGTGGGGGGGCAGAGAGGGACGAGGGAGGAAGCGGAGGAGGACGATGGAGGAGGAAGAGGAGGATACGGAATCTGGAGGAGAGCGTTCATGAGGACAGTATGGGCAATGATACTGGGGGAGGAGAGGCCCTCCATCCTCTTCATCCTCGCTTCTCCTTTTCCCTCCATCTCCCTTCTCTCTCCGCCCTCCTCCCTCCTCAGCCTTTCGCACCCTCTCTCCTCCCTTTTCCATTCTCTCTCCTGCTTCTCCACCGCCTTTCCTCCGTCTCCTCCTCTTTCTCCCCCTTCTCCTCCTCCCTCCTCTCTCCGCCATTCCGCTTTCTCCCTTCTCTCTCCTCCCTTTTCTCTTACTCCCTCCTCACTTCTTTCCTCGTCCTCTTGTCTCGTCCACGCCAGCGCCCTTTCCCGCCTCCTGTTTGCTTCTGGCTGCTCCCGCTCCTGCTCCTCCTCATCCTTCTTCCTCACTCCCTCACCTCTCCTGGCATGACTGGCTCGTCACGTGAATGATCACGGTGCTCCGTGTTGAGTTGTAGCCTTGTCGTGGGCAGAACGAGTGAGCCAGCGCGCGCACTTCGCTTGAGTGGAATGCCTGGACCGGGTTTCCCAGAGAAGTCTTGGGCGTCTCCAGGTTTGAGATCAAGGATGGCGTAGAGGCCAGCAAACCAGTCAGGGCCTTAACAGACGCTTATCGAGCGATCGCTGTGATTGTCAACCGCTTGTCCGCGCGCACGGCCGTTTTCAGCCGATCGCAGGGGCACGTGGGCCTTCCCGAACGTCGAACGCGGGGGGGCCTTCCCGCGCTAGGCCGACTCTGAGAGGCCGCCCCGACGGCCAGCGCGCGCTCCCGCGCCCTGGGAGGAGGAGGAGGAGGAGGAGGAGGAGGAGGAGGAGGAGGAGGAGGAGGAGGGGGAGGAGGAGGGGGAGGAGGAGGAGGAGGAGGAGGAGGAGGAGGAGGAGGAGGTAGAGGAGGAGGGGGAGGAGGTGGAGGAGGAGGAGGTGAAGGAGGAGGAGGAGGAGGAGGAGGAGGAGGAGTAGGAGGAGGAGGAGGAGAGGGGCCGCGGCAGCGCGGCTCGCGCGTTGGTGCCGCCGAGCCGCGCAGGCCACCCAAGCCCTCCGCGCCTCCCCCCCCCGCTCGTCGCCATGAAGCAGGCCCGAATCTCCGATTCCATGGTTGATGTCTAACAGCCTACGCTTTTCTTCGATGTCGGCCTCTGGGGCCCGCTATCGGCCCCCTGGACAGTAACAGTTTGCTCCGGGCAGAAAAGCTGTTCCCGGGGAAGAGGTCGGGACCCCGTGGGCCTCGCACTGGAAAGCTCACGCCGTCGGACGTCTGGGAGCGGTTCCTGAGGGAAACGGGTCCCGAGTGTCCGTTCGCTGCTCTCGTTCTCTTGAGGCCTTCCACGGGTCCTCGGACCCTCAAAGAACGATGAAAAGTTGGTCCCTGGGAGAGGCTGTTGGGTCCAGGCCCTGTTTCTTAATGGACCCGTTTCTTTCAGGCCACACTCGGCTCCGCGTAAGCGTAGCCTTTCGGCAGAGTGACTTCTGGCGCGGGCCCATAGAGCCCCCCTCCAGCACTGGCTCGCGCGCTTAGATTTCCCCTCTCCCCTGCGGCCCCCTAAAGCCGCGCACCAGAGGTCATTCTTGCCCATGTACAGCACTCGACGAATTTCACCTCACAAGTGGTTGACGTGCCGCTTCAATGTCGCCTCCGTTCACCCATTCAATGCCGCCCCCTTCATGTCACCCCATTCAGACGCGGTCTGGGCGGGTGCGACCCGGCAGTTCCGCGATGACCGACATTTGAGAGGGGGCGCCAACAAGTACCCTGCGCGCAATGCCACCCAAGCCCAGATCATCACATCGACACGGAAACTGCGTGACACATGTTTGATGTTTCTTTTTGTCGAGGGTAGTAGGGCCATTCTTGCATGTAGCCGACCTCCTCCTCCGCCCCTCCTCCCACACGGCTTGACCGAGCCTGGCGTCGTCGAGCGGAGGGCGCCCGCCAGACACCGAGGTGATGGTGTACGCCGACCCGTTCTACGACGACCTGAAAAAGATGGCCCGCGAGCGCCCCAGCGGGCTGGCTGCCTCGGTCGGCCCTTCTCGAGGAGCCTCCCGGTGCCCTCGGGAGGAGGCTGGCGCAAGTGGGGCCCGACCCGGTCAATCCTGGGCCCAACGCGCAGGGATCAGCATGGGTCTCTTGGCGGGCACGCCTGGAAGGGTCGGGGCGTTTTGCCTCGGGGTCCTGGCAGACCATCCCCTCGGCCCGGCCTGGTGAAGAGGGGGGCGCTCCCAGTTCCAGATCACCCGCGGGGGCGCGGATCGAAGAAGAGCACGCACAGCACGGGCGTAAGCTTCTGGAGGCGCCGAGCCCTCCCTGGCGGCGCCTCCCGCGCGGCCCCAGGCCAGCGTCGTGATTTATTCACGGCGCGAGCATCTGCCTAGGGCAGCGTTCCTTAACAAATTTGCCGGAAAGCTGGCACTGTCTCTTGAGCACGTTCGGCCCTCGAGCGTTCACAATAGAAACTGGCTCAGGCTTGTTCTGAGAAGCTTCGGGAAGCTGGCCCAGATGATTCAACTGACAATTGTTTCTTGATCCTACTTCCAGCTGTAGCGTCGTGATTCGTTCACGACGCGAGCATCTGCCTGGGGATGGTCGGACGGGGATACGACGAGGAACGCACTCAGAGTGTTCCGAAACTTTCTCAGAAGGCAGCGGCGCCCGAGACACCCTCCAGAGCCGCCAGATCTCAGAGATTCCCGCTTTATCCTCACCCGATGTTGTCCTTGTCCTGGCTTCCTCTTAGGTTCTAGATGGTTTTCCTTACGCCAGTCCCCGGGACCCGTTCTTCGCTCCGGGCCGATTTCCGACGGTCCCCGTCCGGGGCCCAGAGGTGGGCCTCCAGAGGCCCTCACACGACGTCGGGAATGCGCGCTGGATCGTGGTTCGGTGCGTGGCCCTGGAGGTCTGCACGGGGGAGGTCGGTGCTCCCCCATGGATCCAGGCGCTGCACCTTTTCAGCCCGGGCGTCTGGGCCCGGCCTCGGGCCCTGGGCCCTCGCAGATCGATCCGGCTTCGAAAGATGCTGCGCAAAGATGGGGTCTGGGGCTCTGGTCATGTGCTTATTCCTCTCTTTAGGAACTGGGCCAGTCTGTCGGTCTGGCGGCTATGTTGCCGCCGTCGCCGCCCCGTCGCCGCCTCGTCGGCGCTGGTAACTGGGCCTGTCTGTCGGTCTGGCGGCTATGTTGCCGCCGTCGTCGCCTCGTCGCCGCCCTTACCTGGACCTACTTTCGGTATGGCGGCTATGTTGTCGCCTTCTCCGCCCAGTCGCCGCTCGTCGCCGCTCGTCGCCGTGGCTCGACTGCACAACATCGATTGGAGCTAGATTCTCCTTTCTAAAAAGAAAATAGACTCTACCCCCCCCCACCGACTTATCAGCTCCCCTTTCGGGTACGTAAATCATACATGATTATGACCACATGTCCATCCTAAATATGAAATCATACCATCCCAGCTAGGCCGGGTTCCCTCCCCCTGAGGTTTTTTTTTTTTTTTTTTTTTTTTTTTTTTTTTTTTTTTTTTTTTTTTTTTTTTTTTTTTTTTTTTATAAAATAAAAAAAACACTATGCGGTGACATTTTTTGTTCTAACATAGCATTTTTTCACGAATCCATTGCAACAAATGGGACGAAGTGCACACGCGCGCGTCGTCGCGCGCGCATGCCGAAATCCTTCAAAAACCTTCGGTGCCGGAAGCAATCGAGTTTCCAAAAAACAAACAAAAACACATGGTTTCGCAACACTGATTTGCTAACAAAAATTCCGCGCGAGCTCTTGCGAAATCTTAAGAAAACCATAGGTTTTTCAAGATTTTCACAGAATGCTACCAAACGGGCTTCGCGCGCGCATGTCGAAATCTGTCGAACGCCCTTGCGCGTGTGCCGTCGCGAGAATCCTCTGCAAAAAATGAGACGAAGTGCAGACGCGCGTCGTCGCGGGCGTATGCCGAAAACCTTCAAAACCCATAGGTTTCGGAAGGATTTCAAAATCGTGCGCCCAAAAAACCTACAAAAACCCAAGGTTTTCCGTACGCAGCGTGGCCTGCAGACGTGAGGGCGCTCATCATTCTGTATGGTGCGTATCTGAATTGGATTACTGGTGGTTATGTGCCGGTCTTTTTCAATGTTGCGTTCTTGTGGCTACTACCGAAGGGTGCTGCTATTGATGGAGCATACAATCCAAATGACACGCGACCGCTTTCTGGTGCTAACTCTGATGCCAAGTTGTTTGCTAAAGCTTTAGCTGGCCGTTTCAATTCTGTCATCAACACGTGGGCGAATGCGTGTCAACGTGGCTTCATTCAAGGGAGGCAAATGATCACGAATGTCATGGACGTGGAGACGCATGCGGTGGCCAGGGCGCAGTTCGAAGACAAGAAGTCCGTGATGATCTTCTTCGATGTTGCATCTGCTTTTCCCTCCATAGCGAGGGGCTTCATTTGGATAGCGTTGAAAGCGATCAAGGTACCGGTACGCATTATATGTGCAATCCAGGTTCTCTATGTCAACAACATCCATTTCAAAAAGGATCGCGCTGGGCTACGATTCGTATTTGTCGCTGCTTCCGGGGTCCGACGAGGTTGCCCCCTAAGCGCGACAATCCTTGTCTTGGTAAAAGAATGTTTCATGAGGGCGCTGCAACGAACAATTGGGCCGAGGGAACTTCTACGAGGATATGCTGACGATCTTGTTTTGGTATTGTATGATTTGTGGAAGTCGGGCCCCCCAGTAAGCGCCATGTTTGAGCGCATTGGCCGGGTTTCAAGATTATTCCTCAATACCAAGAAATGTATGGTGGTACCTTTGTGGTTGGGCTTCGACGCGGTCGTGACGCAGGGGCAGCTGGTGCGATTCATTCCGGCCTGGAAGGATTTTCTTGTTCGGTCGTGGGGGAAGTATTTGGGATTTTTGATTGGGCCCAGAGCCAACAACCGTGACTGGGATGGCGTGGCCGAGGGGTTGCTGAAAACCGCCCGGCTGGTCAAATCATTAGACCTTCCGAAGCTCCATGCCTTTTTACTTTTCCAGATGTTGGGCACTGCGAACGTGTTATTCTTGGCTCAACTTCGAACACCACCTCGAACTATCAGGAGAGTTGAGTTGAGTGTAGCAAGGTCTATGATTGGAGGCCCTGGTCTTTGGGCGCCAATAAACTTGTTCCACCATCTCCGGGAGGCGTCTGGGTTCCCAATATCTCTGAAGGCCGTCGACACACTTTGTATGTCCGTGATGACAAAGACAAGTTTGGTGTTTTCATCGGAGTGGCAACGCAACGTAGACGTTTTGAAGGCAGCAGCAGGATAATCAGAAGCAATGCTTGTGCATCCGCGGAACGAGTGGAAGAAGCAGTGCGCCGTCATACAGTTGCAGGGGCGCTTCAAGCCGTTCGATTTGGATGGGTTCAAAATCATGTGCGGAATTAGTATTGACAGCACTGGGGCGGATGTTAATCAGTTGCCGAAGCTGATATATCAGTTCCTGTTACCTGCCATGCACCCGTTCGATCCGATTGGTGAGCTGGCCTGGAAGTTACACCAGTGGTTCTTTGCGGACGAGGCGAAGAGCGCGGCGTCTTGTGCTGTGCAGATGTTATCGGCCTTGAGGGATCGCGTTCCTCCGTGTGTAATTTTCTGTTTAATCAGTACGTGGTGCAACAGCTGGTGCACCCAACGCCGGTTTCAGGACAGAGCAGGGCGTTGCCAATTATGCCAACACTGCGGCGGCGAAGACTCCATCGAGCACTACGCTGTGTGTGGCTACCATTGGCGGGTCTTAGAAGCCAGACTTCGTGTGCCTGAGGCTGTTCATTCTTTGCGGGAGTTTCTTTGTTTTGATGAAAAATATATGGATATGTGGATTTTTCGAGCGTGCCACATCTACGCAGTGAAGAGAGCGGTCGACGCGAGCCGGGGGCAACATGAAGGAAGAGACAATGCTCACGTGGACAGACTAGTGTGGCACGGTCACCGGACAGCGGCGCTGTACAACAACAGCCTGGCTATTCGCTACCGACGGTTGTGCGGAGGGATGTGAAGTACCTGTTCCACTGCAGGCGCGTCGTCATCTCCGGCCTGTACTTCCTTTTCCTCTTCGGGCGCCGTGGGGGCGGCGTGTCGGCACTGAAAAAAAAAACCCAAGGTTTCGCAACACGGATTTTCAACAAAAGCGTGCGCGCGCGCTCTTGCGTCGTCGTCGTCGTCGTCGTCGTCGTCGCCGTCCTCCCTCCTCCCGCGTCGTCGTCGTCGTCGTCGTCGCATACGTCGTCCTCTGTCTTTTCTCGTGTTCGTCGTCGTCGTCCTCTTTGGCGTCGTGGTCGTTTCCGTCGTCGTTGTCGCCGTGGTCGTCCTTCCTCCTCCTCCCATCGTCGTCGTCGTCCGTCGTCGGCGTCTCGTCGTCGTCCCTCCTATTTCGTCACCGTCGTCGTCGTCGTTGTCGTCGTCGTCTTCCCTCCTCCCTCGTCGTTGTCGTCGTCGGCGTCGCCGTCATTCCTCCTTCGTTGTCGTTCGCGTCGTCGCCGTCCTCCCTCCTCCCTCGTCGTTGTCGTCGTTGTCGTCGTTGTCGCCGTCGTCGTCCTTCCTCCTCCCTCGTCGTCGCCTTCGTTGGCGTCGTCGTCGTCGTCTTCGTCGTCGGCGTCGGCGTCGTTGTCGTCGTCGAAGTCGTCGGAGACGTCGTCGGTGTCGTCCTAGTCGTTGTCGTCGGTGTCGTCGTAGTCGGTCTGAACAGGTTTTGCAAACCAAGTTGCGGGTGGGTGGGTGGGATGTTTGCGCGAGCAGTGGAGATGACGACTTCAAGTTCAGCAGAGTGGATACACAACATAGATTGCACCACATATGTTGCATCACATGTATTGGTTCACATAGTCGGCACAACATAATGTACCATAAGGGTTGCATCGCACATATAGTTCAACATAGTTTCACAACGCAGAGCGCGCAACATATATCGCACACAGCGTATTACACAACATCGTTTGCACCACATTTACGGCACTACACACATATATATATATATATATATATATATGTATTCCTCTTCCTATATTTCTATAAGCCTTCCTATATTTCTATAAGCCCGGACGGGGGGACCCCCCCCCCTAAAACCGGACCCCCGGGATTCTGAACTTTGGGACCGTCCGGACGGGCCTCGAAGCGGCCCCCTGGGCCTCGCAGGGCGTTTTGCCAAGCCTTCGCAGCACACCCAGGGCGATCAGGGGGGTCACCGGAGACGTCCCAGAGACCCCCAAGACAGCACAAGAGCGCTCCAAGAAGCCGTCATACCCCGAAGGATCGCTCCAAAACGTACCAAGAGGCCTCCAAGAGCACTTCCAAGAAGGCCCCAAGACGGAAAAATCATTGATTCTATGTATGTGTTTGGTGCATTTGGGGTTCTCCTCTTTTCGGTTTCCCGACGCTCCAAGACGGCGGTTTTCTGGGCGTCCGAAGCTGCCTGGGAGTTTCCAAAGTCGCCCCACAACCATCCGAAAAGGGCTTCCAGGCAGTCCTAGAGAGCCCCAAAACGGCACAACACGGGTCCAAAACGGCCCTAAGAGAGCACCATGGCGGCCCAAAATGGCCCCAAGACACCCTCCGAAGCATTCCAAATCGTGACTGGGGCGTTCAGGGAGACCGCGGTTAGAGGCAGGTTGGCCTTAGGAAACCCCAGAGGCCCCCAGAACACACCCAGGAGGCCTCCAGAAGATTTTAAAAAAGCTGGAGAACTTTGGTGAGGCCCCCAGAGGCTCTCCAAGGAGGAGCCTCCGCAAAAAGAGCTGGCGAGGATGGGGAGAATGCCCAGGGTATGGCGAGAATGAGGAAACATAAGCATGGAGGAAGGATAACGAACAACATCATTATAACGGCGATGCCAGAAAAGGCAGCAAGGAGTTATCGCTAAATTGTCGGCTTGACATTCCTCCCATTTCCGCCTGCATACCAAACTTCAAGGACCAAGGTGCATGGCGCGAAGCGCCACTGCAGTCTTGTGTGTATGTATATATATATATGTTGCACAACATATTGCACCACATCGATTCCATTACATCTATTGCACCACATCTCTTGCACAACGTATATTGCACGTCGTCAAGCACCACATTGCACAACAAGTATTGCACACTGCACAACAGAGTTGCACAATAAATTGCACAACCTAGATTGTACCACCAAGATTGTACCACATGTAATCCACCATATCGTTTGCACAGCATACATTCCACCACACATCTTGCACAACATTTATTGCACAACTCAGGGATACACCTCCCAGGGGGTTATTGGGACGCACTTCTATCGAGGGTGGCCAAGTTGGTCTCCACATTGCTGATCCGTTCGAAAACCCATCAAGTGGGGGATAGTATCGCGCACAACAGATTGCACAACATATATTGCACAGCATAGATTGCACACAACACAGAGCACAATATATGTTGCACTACATCGACTGCATTACATAGATTGCACACTATATAGATCGCACAACCTCGATTGGTAGAAGCAAACAGTTCTGGGGTCCACGCGGTCTAACATTTTGCTATGTTGTATATGACTTCTTCGCAATGTCAGATCTCTGGGCCGTGGCAAGGCCCTGGCCGTGTTCTGGGGCCGCCTGCGGGCCCCAGTGGGGCTCCGCTCCTCGACTTTCCAGGCTCCCCAAACAGTGCTGGCACTCAGGGGTCTTAGTTGTCTTCTAAGGAGCTGGGCCGGGCTGGCGGTCCAGCTGGCTCGTCGTTGCCCGTCGCCGCCCCTCGCCGCCGGCCGCTTGGGCCTGGCTTGCGGTCCGGCCAGCTTGTCGTCGCCCGTCGCCGCCGCCCGCTGGGGCCTGCCTTGCGGTCCAGCGGACTTGACGTCGCCCATGGCCCCCATGGCCGCCCGTCGCCGCCGCCCGCTTGCATCGCTGTGATTTGCATTGCATCGCTTTGCGTTGCGTTGCTTTGCATTGCATTGCATTGCTTTGCGTGGCTTTGCATTTCTTTGCATTGTTTTGCCTACCTTTGCATTGCTATTGTTTTGCTTTGGATTTCCCCCCGAGTGAACGGTATTGTTTCTCGTATTACAATTGTCGTATGATTCTGCCCCATGGTCCGTCCTAAGTATGAATCCGTTTCATCCCCACTAAACCGGCATCCCCCCTTTTATTCTCTGGCCCCAAAAAGATATGCGCGTGCACATGTTCATGAACACTCATCAGTTTTCAAGAATCCCTTTCAAACCATGGGATGAAGTGCGCGCGCGCGCGTCGTCGCGCGCGCATGCCGGAATGCGTCAAATACCATAGGTTTCGTAAGGATTTCCAAATCGAGTGTCCCGAAACACGAATAAAACACATGGCTCATCAACAGGAATTTCACAGAAGTCTACGCTCGCGCTCTTGCAGATTCCAGAAATTCGTAGGTCTCTCCGTACTTTCATCAAGTTCTACCAAGTGTGCCTCTTGCACGTGCATGTCGAAGTCGCTCGAACGCCCTTACGCGCGTGCTGTCGCAATGATCCTTTGCAACATATGGGACGAAGTGCACTCGCGCGCGTCGTGGCGCGCGCAGGCGTAAGTCCTTCAAACACCTTGGGTTTCGTATGGATTTCCAAAATCGAGTGTCCCGAAACACATTTAAAACAAACCACACTGATATTGCAGCACACTCTTCAGTTTTCAAGCATGCCTGCGCTCGTGCTCCTGCGAATTCTACAGGACACCATTGGTTTTTCGACATTTCTGTTAAACTCGGCCAAACGGGCTTCTCGCGCCGCATGTCGAAATCAGTCGAGCGCCCTAGCGCGCGTGCTGGGAGCGGCACGATCTGCGTCACATAATGCCATGCGCGCCACTCTTTCGCGTCGGCCGCGCGCGCATGTCGAGCTCCTTCAAAAGCCTTCATCACCGACGCGAATACGCTGTCATCGTCGCCGGCGTGATCAGCATCGGCGCCGTCACTGGCCTTGCCGTCGTCGTTGTCATTATCGTCACCAGCATCGCTACTACCATTATCGTTGTCTATAGTTGCCGACGCTGTCGTGACACCGTGCCCGCCTAAGTCGCCGACTCGCACAGAAGTGCCCGCTGGGAAGTGCCCAGCGGTCAGCGTCACCGCGGCTGCGTCGGTCGCGCGAAGCTAGCTGGCCGCTTCGCGCGCGAACGTGCGAATTCATCGCAATCGCCGCCGCATGGGTTTTGCAAACCAAGTTGCGGGTGGGTGGGTGGAGTGGTTGCGCGAGCAGTGGAGTTGACAACCCAATAGGAACAGACATTCGCTGCACCACATATATTGCACCACATTCGCTGCACCGCATAGATTGATTGACATCTGTTGCACCGAGCAGCGTGTTCCACATATATGGAACCTCATCCGTTACACCACGTAATTTGTGCCACATACACCTCATCACACACATTGGCCCACGTAACTCGCATTGCATACATATCACCGCATAAGTTACAACACGTTGCACCACACAGATTGCACCACGCATATTGCACCAACAAGTTTACACCACATATGTTGCACACCATATTTTGCACCACATGGACTTGTTAATCTAGATTGCACCACGCAGCTTGCACCAGATATTGTGCACCACGTGGCTCACACCACACAGCGTGCATCATATACGTTGCTCTTCTGGGCATCATGCGTTGGGCGCGGGGCCGCTTTATGATCCTCGTTTCCCTCGCTTTCCTCTTCCCTCTTGGTTCACATTTTCAACCGACCTGAACGCCAGCGCCAGCATCCAGCCCCTGCGCGCCCTTGCCGCCTTCGCCTTGCAAAAGCCAGCAGCAGTTACCCACAGTTAGGCGTATTCACAATTAGTTTTACCTCTCTGGTAAGTTATGCAATTTACCGTTTGCTACACGATTCACGTGTCGTTACTGGGTAGGTATCGGCTACCGCAGCGGTAGCTATCTTACGCAAAACAACGTCCGTGTAAGTCAGTCGTAACAAAGTACAACGGAAGGAGGGCCAACATTCACAATGTAAGCTTCTGGAGGCTTCCGCCCAGACCGTCCAGGGGCGCACCAGGACCTTTTGATCTAAATCAGTGTCGAGATGCTCATGCAGTCCTGATCGTTCTATGCGTCTTGCAGGCTATTTTGGCATTCTGGTCGGTGCGGGCAGAGGCCCCCCATGAGACCCTGAAGGTCGTCCCATGTGGATTTCGGGTCACACTTGATCTGGCCTCTGGAACCCGTTCGGGGCGATCCGCGTACCCCTGTGGCGCTCTCGGCGAGGCGCAATTGTTGGAGAGCATCCCGAGGCTGGGGAACCGCCGAGAACCGACGAAAACGCCCGAAAGCCTCGAACCTGTCGTCCTTCGCCCGAGCCAATTCCTCCCCGAGCCCATCCCTCCCAAACGTGAGGACATCCAAGAGCTTCCAGCCTCGACGGCGACGACGAGGCCTCGTCGCGCCCGCCGCGCCGTGAGCCGAGGCGATCACTTCAAGGGGCGGCCGCGGGGCTCGCACAAGATGACGGCGCCCCACCTCGCGCTGAGCGCCTCGGCGCGGCCCTCGGCGGCCTCTCGGCAGCTCTTGGCGGCTCTCGGCGGCCCTCGGCGGCTGTGGGCGGCCCCTTGGCCAAGCCAAAGCCAGGGGCCAGAGGAAGGCGCACAGGCTTCACGCTCGCGGGCGGCTTTTCAGACGGCGCCAGGCCCCATGCCCGCTGCCCTGGGCGGCGCCGTCGGCGTCGCCCCCGACGCGCTCTGCGCGCTCGTCGGAGGATGCCCGGTGCCTGCTGAGATCCTGCCCGAGGACTCAGCTGGAGGGTAGCGGGGTTCAGCACAAACGGTGCTCAGCCAGAGCGCCAGATCGTGTAGGCTTCTGCCAAGCTTCATTTTTGATGAACCGGGTCTGGGAGCCGGGCGTGGCCTTGGAGGCGGCTTTGCACTTTGGTCGGGCCAGGTCTGGGAAGCCCCTACAAAATTGTAGCGCAATTTTTTCTTCATTGGTTGGGCCAGGTGTGAGCTGAGCTGGGCCAGTCCACGCCCGAAGGACATCCGAAGTCTAACGTATGTGTTCTGCCGCCCTCCGTTCCGCGCGAAGCGCTGCATGCTCTGGGCGCGGCGCCGTCCTTCGCGGCCGCCCTCCGCCTGCCCCCAAGATCTCTGGTGCGCAGTCAGCTCTGCCGCTCTCCAGCTGTTGCTGCCCGACGCTCCGTGACCGGCGTCGGCGCTGGGAAAGGAACGAGCCAGGCGCGACCCCAATTAGGAGAACGCATCGGGGATCCGTAAGACTCGAGTACGCCAGAACTTGGGTATGCCGACGCTTCTTGACGAGCGCGTCCTCAATTTTGACGGTCCAGTTTTCGTGGAATGTTTGCAGTGTGAACTCGCGTCAAATTTCAGGTTGGGTCTCGTCATTTTCATGATGGCCCTGTCAGGCCAACCCGAGACCCCCGAACCCGAGTCTTACGTCTCCCCGATCCTAAGTCGGAGGTTGGGGTTTAGACCGAAGTGAGACGTGAGGCGCCACAAACGGGAAACTGGTTCGTTTTGTGCGTGACATGCGTGCGGGCGAGGCGAAGCTGCGCGAGTTCGTCCCCTGCCTAGGGCCAGTTCAGACAAGAAAGGGGAGCCAAGGTACTGGCCGTGGGGTGAAGGTTGTCCCGATGGTTGTCTAGATGGTTGTCTTGCTGATTGTCCCGATGGGTGCTCGATGGGTGTCCCGACGGTTGTCCCGACGGCTGTCCCGATGGTTGTCCCGATGGTTGTCGCGATGGTTGTCCCGATGGTTGTGCTGTGTTGTGAAGGTGGTTGTCCCAATGGTTGTCTCGATGGTTGGTCCCGATGGTTGTTCCCGATGCTTGTCCTGATGCTTGTCCACGATGCTTGTCCCGATGGTTGTCCCGATAATTGTTCCGATGGTTGTCCCGATGGTTGTCCCGATTGTTCTGCAAGGCCATACTACCAGCGAGAAGGCGCTGTGAGTGCGCTCTGCGAGGCCATAAGACCAAACAACAAACGCCCGGCTGTGCAAGCATCTGAAGCGTGCGCCTTGCGGGGCAAAGCGTACACAACATACATTGTGACACGGGTATATTGATTGATCGATGGAACTAGGTGGAGAGGCAGAAAGCAGATAGACCGATGCATGTGTGTGTGTGATGAGATGTTTTGCTAAGCCATAGCTTGGGCTCACCAGTGCATGAGCCACCATGTCTACGTACAGTGCATAGCCGCTATCCCACTTAGTGGGATTGTTGTTCGTGGATGCATCATTGCCCCCAGGAGTCTACTTAACAAAATGGGGTCCCCCTGGCTCCAAGGGACTGTGCAGAGTGACCCAAATTTGATCACTCCTCATAGGACGCAGGAGGCATCTTAAACCTCCAAGTCCTCAAAAGCTCTAGGTAGCGGAGTGTGGCCTCGGACCTTTGTCCTAAGAAAAAAACGATTCTTGTCCGCAGCCCTTGCGCGGAGCTCACCGCAGCAAGGACCGTTGCGCTGGTCGCGCCAGCGCCGCCTGAGCCATAGAAGCGCGGGGCTGGCCGCTGCCTCCTAGCTCGTATCCTCCTCCTCGTTATGCCGGCGCGGGGCTACCCGCTGCCAGCGAGCTCCTCCTCAGAGCCTCTTGTGTTTCTTACCTCTGGTCGTGACGACAAGGTTCATCACGCCCATGTGCCTGTCCAGCTCAGCCGCCGGAACGCTCTTGGTGAGAATGTCGGACACGTTATGCTTCCCCGGCACCTTCTGAACCTTCAGGTGGTTCTTGCGGACGCGGTCCTGAATCCACAAGTACCGCGTCTGCACGTGCCGCTGCTTGCCCAAGCCCTTCCGGGACGCGAAGGACTTGGCCGACGTGGAGTCGGACTCCACGACCACGTCCAACTCCACCATGAGGTCACGCATGAAACTCTGCATACCCAGTCCATGGGCTCCTCCATGTACCAATGCATAGAATTCCGCTTCGCCAACATTCAGTCCGAGTGCCGACTGTATGCTGGAGCTGCCCTTGATCACGTGCCTCCCCATCCTGATGACCATGCCGCTGACGCTCTTCCGGGTCAGCCTGTCCGCCGCGTGGTCGCTGTCGACGGACACGAGGATGTGGTTTGGCATGCGCTGCTGGTCGTAGATGAGGCTCACGTACGGCCGATACACCAAGTATCGTCCCAATCGCTTCAACTCCTGCATGGCCTCCTCCGTTGGCTTGGCCATCCTCTGTGCCAACGTCTTCACAGCCTCGCCGATGTCATGCCGGTCCTGCGCGAGAAAACTCGCGCGCATCACAGCCGATCTGAATGTCGAAGCTGCCGTCGAGGAAACTGGCGGTGACTTCCGATGCCGCTCAATGTCCGCATCGGTCGGCTTAACGCTTGGCGTCTTCACGCCATTGCCCTTGCCGAGTCCCAGCGCCTGAACGATGAGCTCCGAGTGCCTAGCGTCCGGCTCGATCTCAACGTACTTGCGGCCGTACTCTGTTCAGCACCGTCGCCTCCTTCACGCAGTGGTCCGCGAAGCCTAGCCTGTGGCTCTCCCGCACGGAATACTTCGACGCCAAAGTGGCGCCGATCTGATCGAGTCCCAAACGAGGACCCAATACCACGAAATCATCACCATGCACTCCACCACGTAAAACCAAACCTCGATGAAGGAACAACGCCGGGTTCGCCACTCCGATCTCGAACCCGTCCGTCTCCAGCAACTGCTGCCAATCATCCATCCAATTACTACTGGCATCGCGGAACCCATACATGCTGCGATTGAGCCTTCCGACCATGTGCTCGTCACCTGGTTCTCGATCTTCCGCGGGAATGTCGATGTATAGCTCACGCTTCGCCGGCGCCATGAAATGCGCGCGGCTGATGTCGAAGATGGCGATCTCTGGGTCCGTGGTGCCATCCACGGAGCCGTCGGTGACCAAGAGAGAGAACAAGGCCTTGATAGCCTCCCACGGTGGCATCGCGCTAAAAAGCTCGTGCGCCAGCAACTGGTCCTTGGTCTTTGCCTTCAGCTCGCGACCGCAGATCCTCGAGCGCACGTTGTAATTGTCCTTATCGCCCTTGTTCACGTCAACCCACCGTGTACTCACTGTCTTGAATCCTCTGGATTCCATCTCGCTCCTCGGTACCTTGTCGTACAACTTGACGTTTCGAACCCAATCCATCTCCTTCTTCCTAGCCTCCTTTACCAACTCAGGGGGAAGTATCTCGCCTGTGATGTTGTCCCGGGTCTCCTCGTAGAACTCTACCATCTTCTCGATCTCCTTCGGGCCCAGGTCGTCGACTGGATAGTGCGGCTCCGTAGGTGTAGGTCCCGCGGCTGCCAACTCTACAGCGCTAACGTCTCGATCTCGCCGCATCTGCTCCTTCAGGGCCCTCAAGATAGTGCGAACGAGTCGCACGGGATACGCTGCTGTCTGCTTCGCCACGCCGCCAACCACCTGCATGTGGACGTGGTACGGCCCACCAGTCCGGTTGGCACACCATCGATCTAACGCCTTGGCCAGCTCCTCCGAGTTGGTCATCATCAAAACGTGACGCTCGCCGCTGACCTTCTCGAAACTCTCCGGCTTCATGTCGTAGCAGCACATGGGGCCCTCCACCGTGTAGACCCCCGGCTCGCTCCTGAGCCTTACGATGCAATCTTCCTTCCATGAGTCCGCTCCTGCCGGATGTTCGTGTAGGAAATACCTACCGGCACGAAGTTGCCGCCAGTAGAAGCCCACCGCCGTAGTCAAGTACGGCGGGCTCCCTATTAGTACGTACGGCTCCTCCTCGTCCACTCGGTCCTCCAGCTCCTTCACGTCCTCATCCTTCTCCAAGTCCCAACAATCGTACGACCCTGGCTTGTTCTCGCTCAGGTCCATGGCGAAACCTGGACGGAGCCCATACTTCTGCGCCATTGCCGCGAAGCGCACAGGGGCGTAGGTCTCGATCATGTCCACTGCGCCCAGCTCCACAGCTACCCTGCAGAAGTCGCTCACATCGCTGGTCCGGTACTCCTCGCCAGCGTCTCGCAGCCAGGTCTCCAACCCAACTGCCATCTCCTCGGCCAGGCCGATCTTCTCATCGCTCATCTTGACGTCGTCCACCGCGACGTCCAGCGAGCCTACCTCCACGTCCTGCGTCGTGGACTGGACCGCCTGCTCCACGTCGGTCATACCTGACGGGCTCACCTCCGGAGGGAGCACGATAAGCTCGCTAGCCGGAGCATCCTGGCCGGGGCCTCCGCTCCCCGACGAACCGCCCGTCCCTGGCCTCTCCTCCAAGCGCTCCTCGTCGCCTGGGTCGTCGGCCTTCCGCTTATATCGGCCGCCTCCCGTGTCCGTCCACTTCGCCACCTTCGGTGGCGATCCAGCATCGCTTCCACTCCTCTTGACCCTCGGCGAGTCCGAAGCACCCTGCTGGGCCGCCGGAGGCGCGGCGCTACCCGCAGCCGGAGGCCCCCGGAGATTTTGGCCTGGATCGGCCTGTGCCGCCGGAGGCGCGGAGTTACCCGCAGCCCCCGGAGGCCTCTGGAGATTTTGGCCTGGATCGGCCTGTGCCTGTCCTAATCCAGGGC